CGAAGGATCCTAGTACTGTGCTGGAATGGCAGACCAAATACATGAATTTCATGTTTGATCTGGAAGATGCATCCACTGATGGCAGCATTGATGCACAAGAATTTGCTTTAGTCTGTTCCAGTTATGGTTTGGAGAAGAAAGAATGTGAAGAGGCATTCAATAAAATGTCACAAGTATGTAATTTTCTTAGATCTATCTAATTTTTGAAACTCACCATTCGTTCTAAACAAACATTTTTATTTTTTTTAAAAGGGAAAAGCCGAAGTTACTCGTGAACAATTTGCTGCACTCTGGAAGGAATATTTTTCATCAGAGGATGTCAATGCTCCAGGAAACTTTATTTTTGGCAAAACCTCATTTTAACGATCTTAACTTTTTGTTATAATTTATTTTTTCGACTAAATTTGACTAAAAAAAATTTCTTAAGGAATGAAATTCAGGAAAAGCAAAGCGCCAAAGTCCTTTAGATTACACAGCATTACTCGGCAATGTGTTTTAATGAAATTAATTCAATTAATTTTTGATATAAAGAATCAAATTAAAATAGATTAGTTAATATAAATTTATTTAAATTTTAATAAAATTTTCTCAATTAAATTTGTCTATAAAACGAATCTTTCAAGTACACTGAGAAAAATATGCAATACTAAAACAAAAGAAATGTATTTTTTGTAGTTACTCCGTCGATGAATTTTAGAATATCAATTATTAATATTAAAAGTATTTAAAAATGATATAAATAAAATACTTATAATTTTCTTGATGTTAAAAATTAAAATCAAAATTGGATATTCCTCGGATATACCAGAAAAAACTTTATCTCTAAAATAGCAAAAACAAAGTGTAATGTGTATTTATTAAATGTTAAAAATAAAATAATATATAGAAATGTTTTAAATCGATTATAATGTTTGTGTGTAGATAAAATATAAATTTTAATTAAATTACCAAAAAAAAAAAAAATTAGATTTGTTTTAATTTGTCTAAACTGAAACTTAACTTCAGAAGAGAGTGACGTTATAATTATAATTATAGTATATAAAAATAATTATATTATAAAAATGAATTTGCATGACTTGTATAATCTCTATCTGTGTTGGGACTTATGGAAATAGGTGTTGAAGAGATTAGTATAAGAGTATTACAAAGAAAATCTATTTTGAGGTTATGTGTTAAAATAGATCAAATCAATATTATATATATTATATGTCCATATAATATATATAAATGATTCAATGAAGATTAGGTTTGTTTTAGAGTTAATCGTTTTTTATTCTGTATAGTACACTATTCTATTCTTACTATATTCTTATTCTTTTTTTATTTTTATTCTACTCTTATTCTTACTATAGTAAGAATATAGTAGTAAGAAAATAGATCTAATTAGGTCGCAGTGCTGCCTGGTCTTTGATGATAATAATAGTAAGCAAAACATAAATAAATTCAAGTCCATAATAGATTATTCGTGCCTAGAGTCTATTTACCATTTTTATTTCATATCTGTAGTACTTAGATACATATAAACAACGAATTTAACGAGAAGAAAATAGCTGTTTTGGAACATATTTTATAGCACCCAAGCATTTCTATGGGGTATAACTCCCTAAATTGCACCAGCATTTAGAAATATCGCTACATAAACTTTAATAAATGGATTGGAATATCTTAATTATTATTCTTATTATAGTCGTTGGTGGAGAGCATCGACAGCCATAGTGTGTGAGTTGAACCCACTAAAACCACTTTTTAGGAATGACTTGAAAAAACCCTAGACATCGGATCTGAAATGACTTCTGCCTGAATCACATTCGAGTAATCATGAATGGAAAGAAACGAACTTTGTATTTTCGATTTTCAAATTTTTTATATACTTTATGAAATGCTTGGCTATATTCGCGATTAATCAACAAGAATGAGAAAGAAGAAAAATACTTTTTATTAAAATAGAGAGCAAATAAGTGGGGATGCTTGGGAGTGGAAAAGAGCTTGTAGAAGCTAAGTGAGAAGTTCTTTGATGGTATTCTGGTAGAATACCAGAAGGGAGATAAAGGCAACAAGTTAGATATCTGCGAACATAAGACAACAGCTACTCATTCAGTCTTTTAACCCAAGCGGTAGAGTAAGGGATTCGACTGTCTAGTTAACACAGTGAAAAAGGAGTTTTCTCTCAAAATTGTGTGGGAATTCCAACGTATAATGGTCATACAAAACGTATATTGGGACCGCGTAGGCGAATGAAGGAAGAATAGAAAGATTCTTTGAAGTCATTTTATTACACGAATTAGTGTGTTATAATTTACAAAAAAAAATCTATATGCAAATAGGAAAATAAGTCTATATTATCAAAGCGATAATTAGAAATGATAGAACCCTGAAATTATTTACGAAAACGGACAGCCTTACCAACACTGCGTTATCGACTCTCAGAATGGTTACAGACTCCTCGGAGAGGTATGCAGACCTGAGGTCAGTTACTACTTAGTCTGATGAAATGATAAACAATAATACAGTCAAGGCGTAGAGAGGAGTTATGAAGAACCTCGCAGTTAATAGAGAGTAAAAGCGCTCAAGTGCACTGACACAACTAGTCTCAATATAATAATAGAAATGATATTGGGAAGAGATCATCTTCTTGTTACTTAATCATCACTAAGTCCTCTAGCACTAAAGTTCACACTTTTATGAATGCATAATACAAAAATTGTGACAATATTGCCTTGAACTGTATTTTTCTATAATTGACATTTTTTATGTATAAAATTACTAAAATGCATTCATCCACTAAACCACACAACACAATCCTTTTTCAAGAAAATTTGATTTAGTTCCTGATAGTAGTCACTTAAGTCTTATCCTTAAAAATATATTTAATTAATAAATAAAATGAAATTAATTGTAATTACATATTGTTCGGTTCGACAAAATAAGGTATAACAGCCTTGTACACATAAAAAAATGAATTAATTTAAATTTAATTGTGTGTCCTTTGGTCTACTTGTTAGCAAACTGCAAACTGCAATCAGTTATCCTTCAATTTCTTTCCATTGTCTTCTTGGACCGTAGTAACCTCGTCTGCAATTTAATGCACACATCATGCTTGTGCTTTTGTAAATCCTTATTTAGTATTTAAAATTAAAATTGGAATTACAAATTGGATTTAAAAATTGAAGAAAAAAAGGAATCACCTCAGCTCAGCTCAACTCAGCTCAAGAGCTCAAGGATTACATTGAATTGTTGATTGTGGACGTTGAACGCAATTCAAATTTCATAGACAAATCTCATTGACAAAGCACAAGTAATTGTTTAAATGTATGTTTGTGTTTGTTTTTGTTTTTGCATTTGTTGCTTTTGTATTGGCTGTGGCTATGGCAGTGGCAGTGGCAGCGACAGCACCTTTTTTAGTTTTGTCCTTCGGCTTAGTGTAAAGGGCAGCAAGGAGTGGGATTAGTGAGATACGTGCATTGACAAAATATGTTGAATTCAAATGTAGAATGTGTGAGCAACTGAAAGGCAATTGATTGATACGGGGGGGCATAGAAATATGGGACGAGACGGACGCTGGTATATGAAAGAGGCTGGACGAAATTTGCATATGAATTTTTAATGAGATTTTCTGTTGATATAAAAAAAAATGCAAATTAAATTAAATTTATTATGGAAGGTGTTCGAGTGGTAATTTCTCTTATTTTTTAAATTAATTTAATTTAAATTTAATATTCGCTTAATATATTTTTAATAGAATAAGTTAATCAATGCTTATTACTTTATTCATTTAAAAGTACAATAAAAAATTTGTTTATTTTACAGTGATGGCTAGAAATATATAATTATATGCTTAAAATTTTTATTAAATTTAAATAATATTAAATTATTATAATTAAAGAATATGTACTTATTTTCATAATTCATTATTATTTACATTATTAAAGTCAGAGATAAGATTACTTTTCAGAAGGTGTACTTAGTTTCTTATTTAAATACAAAAACTAAACGGATTGCTTTAAACAAAACCTTTATACCATCACAAAATAAATGATTAATATTTAACTGCAGATACTGTAGTAAATATTATGTCAAGATTTAATTAGAAATTTCATTTCAAATATAATACTTAAAGGTGGCTATTAATTAATGTATTAATCCTTACTCTAGTCACGACAATAATATGTTTCACAAGTTAAGCACAGTCTAAACCGCAATTGAAAAAAGCTTCTATAATCTGAGTGTACAAAGATCTATTGGACTTACTTACTTTCTCAATTAAATCAATTTAAAATAATTTATTTTATATTAAGCTCATTAACTATAAATATTTGACAGTATCCAAAATAATGGTAAACTTAGTCTAAAATTTAATTTAATTTAAAGTAAGTGATTGTTATTAACTTTACTGTTATAGTTCATGTATATACTCTGAGAATAAGAGCGAAACGTATAATATATTAGGTCTTTTTGATAGTTTTATATAACTACTTATAAAATTTCTATATGCATAAGAATACATACACATATATAAACTAGTTATGTAGTTTCTATAATAACTTACACAATATGATATTCGTGATTATTTTTAATTTACTTAGAATATATTAACTATATATAGACAAAATAAAATAGCTGTTTTAAAAATTATATATCTCATTTACTTAGAAGAGTCTGCTCTATATAATATACAAACAGTTTTATTTGAAAGTATTCCTTTTAATACAATTACGTAACAGCTGTGTGGACATGAGCGGATAAGTGAAAGCGATATAAATATTTAGAAAATTATTCAAAAATTAATGAAAAAATGTCAATATATATTAAATTGAAAATTTTGAAAAGCTCACAGAAATTTAAGCTTTTTCTTATTCCATAAAAGCTCTGAATGTAGAATGCCCATTCACAATAGTGTTGAACGCAAGAAATCAACGAAACAAAACAGCTGTTTTTGACAATTCGAAAACATCGCACAAAATTGCTACGCAAGGTAGTAAACAAAAGCGGCAGTCACTCTTTTAGTGTTTATATATTTATTAAATGGAAATTAAACAATTTTGATTAAAAAACAAGATTTTATTGTTATAAAATGTCAACAATAGTACAGTATATAATTGTGCGCAGTGACTTACGAACTGCTCTAAATTGGCCTATAGGTGCTGTAATTGCTCAATGCTGCCACGCTGCAACTGCTGTGATAAATCTCAACTCAGATGATGAAGAAACAGTTTGTTATTTAAAAGACATGGATAACATGCATAAAGTTGTTCTTGAGGTTAGTGCAATTATGGTGCGCAGTCCAATAATTTTTCCACAAACATTTTCTCTTTACTTAGGCTAAAGATGAAGGCGCACTAGTTAAATTAGCAGATAAACTTAAGGAGAATAACGTAAAGCATAAAATGTGGATTGAACAGCCGGAAAATATTCCAACATGTATAGCAATTAAACCGTATGTCAAGGATAATGTGCATAAATATGTAAAGCATTTAAAACTTCTGAAAGAATAAAATTGAGTTTTAAGTAATCTTTTTAATAAGAAAATGATGAGAAACAACGGTTAGAAAATTCGTCTAATATTGATCAGAACTACTAGCGAACATCTCTGGTTAATATATGGTGTTAAACTGCTGCCGTGGCTAAAGCATATTCAACATCTTATTTATATATTTATATTACTATATACTGCGTCCTGATTGTAGCATAAACCCTCATAATACAAATCATAAATCGTTTTTACTTTACTTCTTGGTTTTTTATATATAATTCAACTATTCCTAGTGAAATGTTTCATATTGTATGATGTTCTCAAAATATAGCCATTGTATCTTCCGAAAATATGAATATTATGAAATAATGTAAGATTTTTTTGGTCAGGCAATAGATTATGACCTTCACTTATAAGAACAATTGTTCCTCTCTATCCAGGTTATGAGTATTGTGCTGTGCGTTAACATATTTTCTTGACCGATTCGGTACGTTTTACAGAATTTTGATTATATTTGGTATAAAAGTGTTTGATCTTACTTACAGTTAGAGTATCACATGCTATAGAAACTAAAGTAATTAGGTACCATGTTGCAAACACATTTATATTATACAAGTTTTCAGAGGTTGGAAAATCTATTAAGAAGGCCATACCGAATTTTTAATTTGGCAACTTATAGAGTTTAGTGTATAATTCTGGAGATAGAATTTTTTGTTTCTTATCTTGTCTATAACAGAGCTGAATTTGCTGACAATTTTCTAGGACTGTTATCTCTGCAAGAGGATTCAATCTCGTGCAAAATGTATGAGACTAGCACTGTCGTGAAGCGTTTAACTTAAGGCTATGATTCATTGCTAAAAGTTTTGTGTCTTAATGTATATTCTTGACCTCCTGGTTCTAGACAGTATAACATGTTTGACTCTATTTTTAGTCGGAGTGGAGCTTGGTATCCTAGGTACCATGGTATACACATGTCCACGTCAAAACCCAGTAAGAGAGCCACGCATGTATTTAAATTTCTATTAGTTACTTATTATGCTAAGACACGTATAAAGTTTAGAGTGTAGTTCTGAAGTAGAATTATTTATAAAGTATAAAGTAAAAGAATGCCATCTCTATCTAAAAAGCGATGAGAATTTTAAAGCGATGAGTCTTTAGTTCTCTTTAAGGGTCCAGATTTAAACTATAACTGTAGAAGTATACTGTATGGAGAGTTCATGCCCTGCTATGCTTGTTATTGTTATTGTGGTGGAGACTTACGTAGCAGATGAGATGAAATGAATTACAAATTCGAAGAAAATGTGAAATGAATGAGATTATTAAGGAACAAGATCGAATTATTGATAAGTGGGATTATAACTGAAGCTAATCTGGTCCAAAACGAAAATACGTAGTCACTTTAATGGGAACTCAATGGAGTATAGATGCTACAGCTTCCGCACTCATTGGGAATTAACGCACAGTGTAGAGAACTGTTAGTTCACGTTCTAGGTGCGGTTGGGTATACGGTCCGGAGCCAATTGTCAATTTCAACGACCAAGGGCCGTTTGCTACTTCGTAAATGGACTATACCAACCATACCTATATAGACTACATCGTATGCGTGTTTGTATTTAAAAATCTATATACCAGGTGAGAGCAGAGGTTTTTAACATTTGACCACTATTTCCAAGGAATAATTGGTATTGTTTAACTATAATTTGAAGAATAATATAATAGCTTAGAAGAGTGGAAATAAGCGGGATGTAGTGGTGGTATGGAAATAATTGATTTGCAATTTAATATTCATTGCATTATAATTTTATACATACCTACATAATTATAAATTCATAGTTCAAACTTAAAAAAAAAAAAAATTAAAAATCTTTTTTGGTTTTACTTTGTTTTCGTTTGTTTGTTGCTTTTGTATTAAACTTTATTAAATACAATAACTTTTTATTTATAAAAAAATACTTTAAAACTTATTAACTATTAAATAAACATAATTTTTATTACACAAATACAAATCGTTCAGAATAAACATTACATTTTCATTTGTTCCGGAATAATTTTTGCTACGTTTTTGTTGTTGTTGTTAATTTTAAATATAAAATAGCAAAAAAACTGAACGCGAAAATAATTTCAAATTGCTTTGATGAAAATAATTGATTTATTGATTTATAAGCCAAATTTATGCAGTTTCGCGTTTTTATTTATGAATAATAAAGTGCTTCTTGCTGTTTGTTGTTGTTTGTTTTTGTATGGAAAATTGATTTACTAAGCGAATAAAGCAGAAATTGTGCGTTTTTGTAGTGTAAAAAAAAATGAAAATTAGCAAAAATCGAGTTATAATCAACTTTGCTTGTATTATACCGACCTCAACGCCAACGTCAACATCGACGTCAACATCAGCGTCAGTGATTTAATGCCTTCAACGCCGAAAAACAACAGAAACAGCGAATTCGGGTTGTTTGATGAAATTTTTGACACTTTTATCGTCCATATAAAAAACATGTGTTGGGTGAGGTAGGAATTGTGGCAGGAGAAACCGTATTTGTTAACACGTAGTTAAAGGTAAACATTTACATACACATATATACGTGTATGCGTGTGGAAAATAAAGTGATTGCTTACATATTTTAACTAAATTTAATGCATAATAATTTTATATTAATTTCCCCCTTTAATAGAGCCTAGCAAATAATTGTAATTTTTTGTGAATTCTAAAACATTAGCGCAACTAAGATAATTAAAATATAATTAGTATTGTACAATAATCGTTTGCTATTCGATTTAATGTTAAATAATTTGTTGGCACCGTTAAAGCTGTTTTTTGGCGGGAGAGTAGCAGTCGTCGGGGATGTGCTGTTATGTCGGCTTCGTGTGGAGTGGAGTTTCAGTTTTTTGTAGGTTTTTGTAATGCATTGAACTCGCCCTTTAGCCATTCTTTTAAATTGTCCTGTAAAATAGTTTATTTTTTCTGTTGTTAATGTTAATGTTTACAATGGAAAATTAAATTTAAAAGCATTAAAAGCATGAGTAAAATTAATTAGCAAAATTACTTGTTACTTGCGCTACAGTCTACAGTCTATAGTTAACTGTTCACAGTTTACAGCTTGTTAACCCTTTAATGCCCGTGTTGAGAGTTTGTTAGTGCGCGCAAAGAGCTTGTGTGCTGTTTTGCTGTGCGTGATTTAAGTTTACTACTTTTTCTACTACTTTTTAAATTACTTGAATGTTATTTAAATACTTATTACGAGAATTAGTGTATAAAAATTAAGAAAAGTAACTCGAATTTGTTAATTGCCAACATGAAATGTATTAAAGCGTATTTTTTCACTTCATAAATGTTTTTCCAATGTATTTTGTTAACGTTTTTTTTTATGAATTAAAATAAATTTACAATTGTCAAGTTCAGCTTAATGATAATCAGTGATAATGAGTATTTGTTATTGTAATTGCAGTTGGCTTCTTGTTCTGTCTGTTATCCCATTGTTATACCCCGTAGTTAATTCATTTGGGAAAGGTGGTACGGTACGAGTATCTCCCTCTTCCACTCCGCTTTCGCATGTTTGTGTTAAGCAGCTTGTGTTACGTATTAAATGGCCCTTTTCTTCTTGTAATTTGAACCCTTTTTTATTTACTTTCTTATTAAATTTTTTTTCAATTTTTTTTCAATTTTTTTCTTTTTTCTTTTTCAACTGCAACTTTTTCAACAATAATTTTCTGTAATTTTTGGTGGTCTACAATATTCTTTTCTGTTTAATCGGAATTATGTAAATTTTCTTGATACTCGTCGTATTCATCTTCAGCCTCTGTTTCTGCTTCATCCTCTTCTTCGTGCTCATAGTCACTGGTATTGCTTTCCGGTGCCGTTACATCGGGCAAATAGTCTTTGTGTACGGGTGTCGATATTACGGGCTCCTATAGAAATTTAGATTAGTGTGCATAAGCGTTAATGTGTAGATATTTTTCTTTATCTTTTTTTTTTGTATTTTCTTTTCTTTTTGTTATATAAAAAAGTGTTAACTCTTTTCTCATTATTAAATTTCAACATGCAATTTTTTTACAACGACTTTAAATTTTGTTAATAATACAACCAACACCAAATGAAATTGAATTTAGAATTTCTACCTAAGCTAAACTAATAAACATGCTAACCTTGGGTGGTCGCCAACCGCAACCGGGCAATGGCAATCCATCAGAACCCAGTGGACATGGTGCATCCAGACCGGGCACACCTTGTTCTCCCTTATCGCCGCGATCACCTTTGCGTCCACGTTTACCGGGTGGTCCAGGATCGCCACGTGAACCTTTTTCACCGCGTGGACCTTCTTGACCGGGTATGCCATCGGTACCCTTAACATAAATTAAATTGTAGTGCAAATACATACACAAAGACATAAACATTTAAAAAGTGTTTTTAGAGTTAGTGGCAGCTGATACAAAGTGAAGGGAAAGTGTAAGAAACAATGTATAATTTTATCTAAATAGTGATTTTAAAAACCCACAGTGTGGCAATTTTTCATAGCATGCAGTGTAAAGAGATTTATAGAAGTAATCTTCCCGGTTCATTTCACCATATTATGCTACTTACCGGCAGACCAGGATCTCCACGTTCTCCTTTTTGTCCTGTTTCACCTTGTGCGCCCTATTAAAAAAATTTAAAACGTTAATCGTGTTTCTGTTCTCAATCACATTTACATCACATCACATTTACACACCTTCATGCCGTCTAAGCCAGGAGGACCCTAATGTATACGAAAATTAAAAAAAGAAAAAAATGAAATCAAAAATTTTAAGTAAATTAAAAATGAAAATGAATCAATAATTAATTAAATTTAATTCATAAAGATATTAAATGGTTCATTTAAAAAAATTAATAAATATAATTAATATTAATAACCCAAGCAAAATCATGCAAATTATAACACACATAATTAAATCATATGTATAAAAATCATTAGAATTTAAAATTATATAAAATTTCTTAATTAAATTAAAAATATTTTTTTTCTTCATTAACAATTATTTGTATAGAATAAAAATTGTATAAGCAACAAAATAAAAGTATGAGTCAAGAATGAAACCTCAAGCTTTAGGTAACTTATAGAAAATATTAAAAACTTAATATAAGTAAGGAAAATATATTTATATACTTCAAAAAAACAAAAAATTTTAATAAAACGATTCTAAGAGTTTTTAATGAGATCGCTCCTTCCTCTTATTAGTATAATGTATGGAAAAATTTTACTTTAGCGTTGCAGATGATTCTGACTGGCGAGTACGGACTTTAAACTGTATGGCAAGGACAAGGATAATATTTTACATTATATTTCGATTTATGCCTTAGCCTGGTATCATTGGCTGAACTTCTTGATACAAAATAATATATGGTATGTAGATCCTCAGCTTTTAGGCGTTACGAGTTAAGGACATTATTAAAAAAGGCGGTTTTTTTTTTGGTAGGGCGATTGTAAAAGATAAAGAAAAATGACTACCCCAGCTGCCTTCTTTGGCAAGATAAGGATATAAATTGTGCTTTCACAAAAAGATCATCTTCCAGCATACTCTCTATTTACTTCTATCTCTCTATTCTTCTCTCTCTTTTACTTCTTCTATTTATTTTATTTATTTATCCTTTGATATGCTTATGTTACAGTGTACTATGTACTGTACTATGTTTCAAAATAACGAACTATTTCAAAATAACATATAGAAGCACTTTATAAGCGATAGATAATAGGTTGGCGCTGATCGGTGGGTCATATCTTTTCAGAAATGTAAGATAATGATTTCTAAAAATTTTATTAAGTAGATGACATATGTAGCAGATAATATTTAATATAAATATATACATAATATATGTAAAATGTCACCATTAGGCTATAAATCAAAGCCGCCTCCATATTCCTACGTTGTAGTACAGTAACCCACACTTCGTTATGATTATTTGATTTTAACACTATTGGTCTCGATTAGGGATAAAGACTACTTAGAGTTAGTGAAGTACAATAGATGTATTATGTTTACAGTACGTAGAGCGGATGTAGCTGTTATTGAATGCATTCACAACTGTAAAAATTTTTAGTTAATTTTATGAAGATAGTTTCAGTTCGTTATTTATGACTGCTGAGCTGATTTTTCAATGGATCGTGATAAGGATTATTTATTCATTTATTTTCTGGTATTAGGAACTCCTCACCGAAGGTAAGTAAGGTCTTCTTTTATAAGGGTGAACTTCTTCTGTTCAGATAGAATCAGTTTTAGCAAAGTTCCGTACCATTGAGAGTATATATCTTTGTTATGTATATATCTATTCATCTACCTATTAATCTGTTTATCTATTTATGTTTTCATATATCCGTGATGGGTGATATAAAATGTATTCAAATTGGAAAGAATTTATTATAAATTTTATGTAAAAAACTCATTGTTATCTTTTATTTAAATGCACAGAAAATGTAAAATAAGTTAAAATGTTTACATAAGGTTTCTGTTGTGTTTACATTGTTAGTATGTAAATACATATATTCATTTCATACAATTTCAATTTCATATTTGCAACACAAAATCAAATATTGGCATATTTAGAGATTTATATTTTTATTTTAATTTTTTTTGTGATATTTGATTTTCTTAATAAATCTTATGCTAATTATTTGTTTTATTTTATTAGATTTCAATCGACATTTAGTAAAACACACAAAATAAGTTTTGCTTTATAAATATTTAATAATAATAATAATAATATTAACAATATACAATATTTATAATAATTTCTTATATGTGATCTGTTTCTTATATGTTATTCATTATTCTAACCTAAAGTTTATATTTACTCGTAATTGTGTTAAGTAAGAGGAGCAAGAGGAGCGGAAACTTTTAAGTGCTAATGAAAATTGCTTTCAACTAAGAAAATTTTTTGTTCATATTTATGCACACATTTTATATACTTTAATTTATTTATATATATTTATGTGTGTGCATTTTATTATTTATATGCATACATATTTTATTTGCCTTAATATATTCAATTTTAAAGCATAGAAAAAAGTGTTGAAGTATTGGAGAGGGCGTAATAAGTTTAAAGATATAATAATTTGTTTTTATATATTTACATTTTTAAAGCATACATATAGGCGTCTCTGTATGCTTTGAGTACTCTGAAATAGTTTTCTTTTTTCTTTCTTTTAAATGAAATTGACTTTTGGTTTTAATATTTAATTGGAGCCGTTAAGATTAATTGAACAGAATTGACATTAAATTAATGTTGAAAATGTATTAAAATTTTCGAACGGGTAATTAATTAACGGGAGATGAACTTACTTCTTTTTTATATTTTATTGTATATACTTATTAAGCATTAAATTACAATTAATAACAAATTCAGAAACAATTCAGTAGCTAAACATAAGATTAATTAAGAAATAGATTAATCGAATCTGGTATAACGGAAGGCAATATGAAAATGATGGTTCATTAACTTAAATTTTATTTTCAGATAATAGCCAGATAATTTCTAAATCGAAAAGATCTCATAATGAATTGAGCATTAAGTCTGGCGAGGCTCTAGCACAGAAGGTGTATAAGAATCTTTTTCTTATATGCTTTTAAGCAATATTTTTAGATATATTAAAAAACAGACTTATATTCTACAACTATATATATAACCACTATAGATTAGTATCTTGTACATTTCAAAAGTATTTTTTATTGTGAATTAGTCGCAGAATAAAATCAATTCGTGTGGCTTAAGCAATATGATCGGATATGACCTTCCTTCTGTTCTTTTTTGGCTAGTCGCTGGCTACTATATCCCACATCATTGGACTATACTCGGAGTTGTCACCTACTGTAGCGAGAGATAGTAGCATTTCTCATGTTTCAGATACAGTGGTTGGCTGTTGTATTCCACATTATTGGACTACAAATAGAGTCAACAGGCGTTGTAACCAGCGACTGTTGCACATTCATGCGATGGACAATAACTTGGATTGGATAATTGCCATGCAACTGAGATAATTCTATATTTAATTTCAAATATAGAAATAACATATTTATATTTTGGAACCTAACTAATTTCTTTATTTTTTATTTGCCTTTCAGTGCATGTCTGCATTTGTATTAGTTTTTAATAGAAGTTAAAATGGAAGAATGTTGACTGTTATACCATTTAACTAAAGTAGTCATATTATGAAGATATAATAAAAAATCAATGAGAATGTGAATAAGAACATATAAACTTAAATGGTTTTTATATTTTTATATATATTGTTGTATGTTTAACATTTTTATATATAACACTAAAAATATACAACTGTGAAGTTTGAATCTATTCAAAATTTCCTTCAATTTGCACTCAAGCTTTGGCAAATCTATTTAGACAAAGCCCATGGACGGTACCTAAAATTTCTTTTTATAATCGCTTACACTAAGAAAAAAATTGTGATTTATGCATAGATATTAAACTTTAATGCTTATATATAATATGTATACTTATAACACGCATAACATCTATTGATATTGTTCGGTATTTTATTATCGTTAAATAATTTTTAATGTTCAATGGAGCAAAAACAAAAAAATGACATTTTTTATACAATGTAGCATTATTCTTAGTTAAAATTATTAGTAATTAATAGATTTTAAGTTGGTTGGGGTTTTTGTAAACACTTGCTCTAACTACTTTAATTTTTATTATTTTTCCTGCGCAATGCTTATTGAGTTTCATTTAGTATTTATTAAATTTTATTTTACAGTGTATTTTTTCTTTACCATATTTTTGTTGCACATGCCACTAATGCGTGTTTGCATTAATTTCATTTAATCTGTTAAATGGCTTTAATTATTAATTAATAAGTTCTCTGCTGATAGTTTATGTTCAATACAGAAAGGAAAGGAAAAAATAAATGTTTATATATAACATTATAATTTTTATTTTCAATACATACACATTTATATATATATATATATTATTATACTTATTTGTAAATATTAAAGTTCTTCTTTTCCAATTAAATATTTAATTAATTTAATTTTTTGTTAGTATGTTGCAAAAATGTTGATGATAATTAATACTGCAATGACTATTGAATCAATTCAATTCACTGTACAAATAGAATTTCATTAATTATTATTGATAAGGTGTAAAGAGGAGCAGGAAATATGTGTTTTGGATATTTTTTTTTTGAATGATATGAATAAATTTTGTATTTTTGTTTAAATATAGAAGATTTGAACAATTTAACAGTTTAAAGCAGCTGCTGTAAGCGATATCGAATGTTCGACACATATTCACCACATCTGTGGTGAAAAAGCTGTTAATATATTTTGATAGGTTAGTTATCAGTGTTGGAAGGTAACTTCAGTTATATTTTTAAAATTATTTTAGTTTCAGTAATTGAACCGTATTCATAGCTTAAATAATCATGTAGATGGTTTCTAAGTAATTCGCAGAAATACATAAATTTTGTAAAATTTTTCCATATTTGTTAACAAAGCCAAGCTTCGCTTAATTTTTTTATATTTCAAGTTTTTTTCGTGGTTATGATATTGTTAGATTGATTCACTTTAGTTCGCATTTATGTATATTATGTTTGAAAATTTATAAAAAAATATTTCGTTTTAGTTACATTCAGCATGTGTAGTTATTGTTGTGCTTGTGTTTTATTATAATATTTAAAGTTTTAAGGATTAGTAGCCCCACACCTGTTAGAAGTAGAAAAAAAGTAAAAACCAAATTTTATTTACTTTAATTACTAAAAATATTTAAGTTTTAGTTTAATTAATAAGCAAATAATTTAGTTTGTATTAATTTAATAAGTACTAAAAACTAAGCCAAATTGCGTGGAAATGTGTTCAAAGTCATTATTAAATAATTTTAACTCACCGGTAAACCTGCTTTGCCTGCTGGACCAGATATGCCAGAATCACCACGCATGCCCATAGGACCCTAAGTAATTTAAGTGGACTTAATATAATTTCATAAACATATTACTGTTTGTACAGCCGGAAACTTACCGGTAGGCCCATAGGGCCTTGATCACCTTTATGACCCCTTTCACCCTACAACTACATATTTTTAAAATTTTTAAGAGGAAAATGTATGCATAAATTTACCGGATCACCTTTACGTCCATCTAAACCCCGATCGCCTTGTTGTCCCGGATGTCCAGGTGGACCCATCGGCCCTGGCGGACCTGGTGGACCATATAACTATAATTTAAAATTAATAAAACAAAGTCAATTCAATGAGACTATTTACACCACTCAGTAACTTACATATTCAATTGTTGGCATATGTGGTGCATCTGACATTCCGTCCATATCTTGACGCCTACGCATTTTTCTATACTTCTAGTAGAAGGTTTAATAAGTAAACGAAATAATATATTATTATGGTAAGCAATACTCACTGAATCCCCACGATCACCTTTATCACCTTTAACTCCAGGATATCCTGGTGGTCCAGGTAGGCCTGGTGGACCCATGAGGCCTGGTGGACCAATATCACCACGATCACCCTTCTCGCCAGGTGGCCCCTGATAACCGGGTAGTCCAGGTGGTCCTTCAATTCCAGGCTCACCAGGTAGACCATCTAAGCCACGTGGACCCAATGAACCAGGTTCACCTGGCTCACCGGGTTCACCTTTCAAACCATCGCGGCCTTCACGTCCATCTTTGCCAGGCATGCCAGGTGGTCCTGGTGGACCACGTAGTAGTGTTACGGGAGGATCATCGTAATCTTCATCCTTAGCACCTCCAGGACCAAATATCTATTTTTTTGCGATTTTTTTTTAATGTAAATAATTGTTGGAATATAAATCAAGCAGAAAATTTGTTCAACGCTTAAGCAAAATTTTTTAATTAATTTTCAACTAATTATGTGCAGTTTACGAGAACATGTGTGTAGCAAAAAGCGCGCTGGCACGTGTGTGTCGCGAAACTTTTTGCCTTTGTTGTTGCTATTAGGAAATACAATTCATGTACTCATTTGTAAAATTTGTGCACTTCTTTGTGCGCTTCACTATGTGTGCTTGTGTGTGTGTGAGTGTTTGTGTATGTGTGCAAAATTAAAACTTCTAAGCCACCTACTACCGCGTACATTAGTGAATTAATTGCACGGGGCGTTGCACTTACACGCCCCACAATCCCACAATCCAACAAAACCACACAATTCCGTTTTGTCTTCAAAAATCTTTTCACTTTTTTTATATTTGAAAATTACAAAAAACAACAGAAAAAAAGACTCCAAAAAGAATAAATAACTTCAAATTATTTCACATAGATACACACACATACATACATGCGTACATACATTGTTTGCATTGTGTGTATGATGCACACTTAACTTTCTTATGTGCCTTGGTGTCTAAGCGATACAATGTGTGCTCCTTATCGGTTATCTGCAACGGCAGCAGGAACGGAAGCAAATTTGTGTTTTTTCAAGTAACTTCTTTGAAGCTTTCACTTCGTCTGTACTCTTCGTCTATACGCCAATTCCCTGGAGTGCTACAATTGCAGGGGCTTTGTTAACTTATATTCCGCAATGGCTGCGCTTAACCCATTCAGACTAATAAATTTTTAATATTTTAACAGTTCTGAAGTTTCTGGAGAGCAGGAAGAGGTTTTTATTTAAGCAAAGAATTTGAGAAAATAAAATCTATTAAAGATCTTGAACAGTTTCCTTAACTTAATGAGTAGTATTAGATTGGGACAGAACCCAACTGTCTTATACTTGTTTCACATAGGAAGAGTCTGTACATCAAAAAGAGAAAACGATACAAAGATAAAAACAACAGAAGATAAATGCATTTTAGTACGAAGAAAGGGAACAATAACTATAAAAGAGAAAAAGAAAGAAAAAAAAAAAAGAATTAAAAATGAAAAAGTAAAACCAAAATCTTAAAACATTTTAGTGAGGGAAGATAATGAGCATTTAAAATAAGAAGAAGGTATAAAAAAACACCAAAACACCAAAATATATAAAAAAAATATATAATAACACCAAAATATGAAAACATTTTAGTATGAAGAAAGAGAACAGGAATTATGAAAAAGAAAGAAAGTGACATCAGATGCCGAAAGTATCTTAATATGAAGACGGAATCTTGTTCTCTCTAAATGAGAGAAATAAATGAAGAAAATTAAGCCAAAAATGTGAAAATAATGATTTTAACACTAAAAGAGTGCACAAGAAATATAGATGGGAATGAGAAAAAATTTTAATTTACTACTTCACAAAGGAGAAAAATTAAATTTACAGTAACTACGCCTATTTTAGAGAATTCTAAAGTCCGAGATAAGAGAAAAGAACATGAAAGAGAGAACAAAGTTGCGTAGTAGATCGGAAATGGGTATTGAATGGCATTAAATTCATTTGTTTTACATTTTTAACTTATCAGTTTTTAACCACAAGCATTAATCGATATAAAATGGATTCATTTCCTTGGTATTCACAAAGTTACATCTTTCACAAACACGGTTGCCACTTGAAAATTTTTTTCTGTACCAAAATTGGTTTAAAAAGGTACCATTTCTGTGAAAAAAGGTCCAAAATTTTTCTATTGTCTTTTTATAAGAAAATACAATTTATATAAAATGTACAAAAAGTATAAAACAATACAAGTTACATTTATAAAAAAAATTAATTGAAAATATCCACAATAAAGTTGGGTCGCCGAAAATGTACCATTTTTTGAACATGAGTACCAGAGTACCAAACGGAAAAAAAAGTACCAATTTTGGTACTAAAGTACCATAAGTGGCAACCGTGTTCACAAACATGGTTTGTCCACAGTATGTTATGTAGAGTACCAGTAAGGGCTGAAATATGTAATAACAACAACAACTTATGTTTATAGATATAATTCTTTTCAGGTTCAATCATTCAATTAATCGAAATCGATTATTTGATAGGATAGGTTATATGATATTCACTCATCCAAATTATTTACTAGTATTTAAAAATATGCCAAATTTAAATCGAATGGGTTAATGTGATTGCTACTAAAATGAATTTAGAATGTTTACGGCATAAATGCGGAACAGAAATAAACTTTACAAAAGTTTATTAAGACCATAGCAGAAATTAGAAGGAAGAAGATATGATACTAAACGCAACTTTAACTACTAGAACTGTACTTATCCTTATTAAAAAACAACAGGAGACACACACATGTTAAGAGAAAAGACATAGATGTGAAGGAAAAAAGCGGTACACGATATCGACTCAAAATGATTAAACTCGAGAGGAGCTGCCGGAACCACAAGGACAAAAGCAATTTCAAAACAAATAAGTTAAGTTGCATCTTCAGCCACAAAACACCAGAGCAACAGCAGCAAAAATGCAACATAAAATTGCGCTGAAGAGAAAAAAATCACCGAGAAATTACAAAGAAGAAAAAAGTGAATTGAGAAAGTTGCAAAAACCGAAACAGAAACAGAAACAGAAACGGTACAAAAAAAATGCGGAAGGATGAAAACCCAAAGGACGCACAATAACATTGCAACAAAACGTTACTTATTTGCTTAGCGTAGATGTGGATCCTTTGCAACATTTTGTTGCATGTGTTGACTTTGCTGTTTATGTTTCATCTTAAATGCTGATGCTGATGCTGATATCGATGCCGTTGCTGTTGCTAATGCTATTGCAGCAGTTGGTGATGTTGTTGCTGTTGTTGTTGCTGATGTTGTTGTGGTTGCTTTGTTGCCGTTTTTATTGTTACTGTAAATTGTTGCTAATGCAAAGAGTTTAAGGATGTTTTTTTTAATGCTTCCGTTCCGTAGCTATTTCACTTTTTTACTGGTTTCATCAGCGCACTTTACTTCAATTTATTTAAGTTTTTTCTCTGGGAATATTTTTTTTGTTCCTATTGAATTAGCAAAGTTTTTGTATTGTTTTGTTTTTGTATGTTAAAAATTAAGCAATTTTTTGAAAACTTTCCGTATAATTTTAAATTAAATAAGTTAAACAGCACACTTGTGTGCGTTTCGCTTTGACTTTTCGGCTTCGAGTTTTTGTTCCTCACAGGACGAAACTTGTTTAATTGATTAGTTTTGAAATGAATTAAATTCCTGCAAGGGGTCATGAACTTATGCTAAAGTTCATGGAATAAGCTTTAGAGGTTGCCAACACTTGAAAGTTGCAGTTTTAATAGTAAAAAGTTACTTCACTGACTGTTGGATGAGTTGCGGGAACAGAAGAATAAAATTGATGTGTTTTTAATGTACTTCATACGCAATGTAGTACCAACAAATTTTATAATTTTAATTAATGTTTCAGACATTTTAAGTTTATTATGGCCTAACCAACAACAATAGTTGTGTGGAGAGATAGCTTTTATAAAGTGAACATTTTGAGATAACCCAAATGGATGAAGCAGTTGACCGCGTATTGTACCACTTACTTAATCAAAAATAATGGTAAGATTAGTGTCGTAAATATTCAAAATTTTAATGCATTCATACTAGCATTTCTGAAACTTATAGTAAAATATGGGAAAACTCAACGATATGCAGGCATCTGTAATCTGCAATCTGGCCACGTTCTGATAAAAAGAAATCCAAAATTCTCATTGAGATGCCCCGTAGAGATATCAGACTTTTTGTAGGTTTACTTACAAGTCACTGTAAACTAGAGAACCATGTTAGAAGATCAAATCTCCCTTTCAATAAAACCTGTCGCAGCTGTGGGAAGACGATGAGGGTGCCTCTCATCTATTATGGTTTTGCCTAGCTCATGCACGGCGGCGATGTAGTACTTTAGCAGCCCCCTTTCTTGACACTCTTGATCAATTACAGGACCTGACATTGAACAGTATTTTGGTCTTCGTCAAAGGTTTTAGGTAGTTTAAAACCTTAAATTATTCCTATATACTGTAATACAATGTGCCAATAGATCTAAGTGTATCCCCTAGGGATCGCCGGTATAACCTAACCTTACCTATAAGAGCACTTAAGAACACATGTGTTCATATATAATACTAATATTAGTACTTTAAAAGTACTTTACTTTACAGTTTGAGACGAATCAATGATCAACCACATTTCTTAGTAAATGATCCATTGTTTATCTTAAACTGTAATTCAGTAATGATGATGATGATGATCCATTCATTCCACTGGTACATCTCACACTGTAATCTCAAATAAAGTAATAAAATAAGTATTTGCACGGTAGTAGAAGTATAAATCTTAGGTAAAAAATAACGACAATAGCCTCATTAAAAATCAATCGCTTAAGAGAGATTGGCATTAAAAATGTTTAAGAAGAATATGAACAAATGGTATAATGAGATGTGTGTGTTTGATGTGACAGAATGTTGACTCTGTCTGAAAGGTTATGGAACTTCAAGTCACATTCTATGTAACTGTTTAACTTTGGTCTGTATCAAGAGGACGACACCATAGTTGGAACTTCTAACCCGGCTAAATATAAGGAACTGCTCCAGAGAGATTTTTTGTCTTTCTTTTGAAAGGTTAAGTGTCTTCTGTATGGTTAAAGCATCTTAAATTGAAGAAAACAATACACCGTGATTAGGACGATTTATTGTGCTTTCGGTTAAGGTAAGTTGTAAGCATTAAATGATTAATATTATGCAATGCGTCGTTAGGCTATACATTATATCATATTGTATTTTATTGTACCTTCATAGTGTAAAACTGATAGGTCAAACATAATGTTTACCTGATATATATTTAACATGATCACTTATCAATTTTACTACTATTGTTTGTTCGTTAAGTGGACTTGCCTTACCATCATTCATAGTTA